AAAGTTGAAAGATATCATCTGGCCCTTGCAATCTGCTCAGTATCAGGTTTTTAAAGCTCTGATTTGCCTGAAGTCAACAGATGTACACTGTTAAAACAAATGTATCTTTGATACCAGATGGGGTATAATTCCTAGGGTTTGGAGGATTAGGATTGAGATGGAATGGGAACTCATCACTTTGTCTTCATGGCTGTGCTGATTTTTTTTTTTTTAAATCAGAAGACCTCTTTCTGACATTAAGTAAATAGATACCTCCTTTTGGATTTTGGATCCAGAATGAAAAATAGTCTCATTTACAAAGGAAGGGCCTGTTTGTAGAGCATTTATCCTGTCTTTGCTGCTTGACTTCTTTGTGCCTTTTTTTCTGGTTACCCATCCTATCTTTTGTAAGGTGGAGAACTTGGCTGTATGTGTAACAGATTTGTCAGGATGAGTTTATTTGAGCTTTTAGTAAATGGTCCATAGGATTTTTTTCTTTTTGCTATTTATTTTTTGTTTATTTCTGATCAGTCTCAGAGTTAACTGGGGATACTTGCCTGATTTATCAGTTTCATTTTTTATATCCCCCATCCACCCCACCTCCTTTTGCTCTTGTGACTCTTACTAAATGCATTGCTACCCATGTGTGCATGGCTGGAAAGAACATATGTGAAAACTGCCCTTAATAATTCATTTTTATCTGTTTTTCCTTGCATAGACTGAATTGTAGCATCTCTGCTGAATCTGCATTGTCTTATTTCCTGGTTGTTTTCTTGCATTTATATTACCTGAGGTTGGTTTCTATATGTTCTGGGAGAATTTGTTTGCCCTTCTGCTTGTTCCTTATATTGTGTTCTCATCTCTTTTTCACTTGTATTCAGCTTGTTTTTTACATATGTCCAGGTATGTGGCAAAATGTATTGGTTTTGCACTGATAGATGTTATTCTTTAATTCTTAATTCATGTGACTGGATCATTCCTTCCTAAATGTGGCAAAGAGAGCATATCAATAGAGATACACAGAAACTGACTAGGCATAGACAACTTGAAATTGCCACAGATCTGTGGTTAAAAATTTCAATTAACTTTTGATTAAGCACCAAACGAGTTCTAAAAAAACGTTAATCGTCAGCTTCCACATTTAATAATATGTTGCATTCTTTGCTTCATTCATTTTTAAAAAAATTATTTTATTTATTATTGTTATTAAAACTTTTGGCTGTGTTGGGTCTTTGTTGCTGTGTGCTGGCTTTCTCTAGTTGTGGTGAGCGGGGGCTACCCTTTGTTGCAGTGCGTGGGCTTCTGACTGCAGTGGCTTCTCTTGTTGCGGAGCATGGGATCTAGGTGCACAGGCCTCAGTAGGTGTGGCACGCAGGCTCAGTAGTTGTGGCTCTTGGGCTCTAGAGCGCAGGCTCAGTAGTTGTGACCCATGGGCTTAGTTGCTCCACAGCATGTGGGATCTTCCCAGACCAGGGCTCAAACCCGTGTCCCCTGAATTGACAGACGGATTCTTAACCACTGAGCCACCAGGGAAGCCCATGCTTCATTCATTAATTCAGCAAGCATTTGTTGAGCATTTGTGTGTCAAGTATTTCTCACTGTTCATATTCCACTTTCTGAAAGTAGCTTTTTGCCATCTTTGTTTCTCAGGCATTTTGAGTATGTTTCCAAAGAAATAATGATTTTCTCTGCCTTGCTACTCAAAGTGTGGTCAGTGGGCCGGCAGCAGTGGCAACATCCGGGAGCTTGTTAGAAATGCAGAGTCTCAGGCCCCATTCCAGACGTGCAGAATAAGAATCTATATTTTAACAAGATTACTGGGTGGGGCTTCCCTGGTGGCGCAGTGGTTGAGAATCCGCCTGCCAATGCAGGGGACATGGGTTCAAGCCCTGGTCTGGGAAGATCCCACATGCTGCGGAGCAGGTAGCCCCATGAGCCACAATTACTGAGCCTGCGCGGCGTCTGGAGCCTGTGCTCTGCAGCAAGAGAGGCTGCAATAGTGAGAGGCCCGCGCACCGCGATGAGGAGTGGCCCCCCACCTGCCACAACTAGAGAAAGCCCTCACACAGAAACGAAGACCCAACACAGCCATAAATAAATAAATAAATATTTTTTTAAAAAAAAAAAAAGATTACTGGGTGATTCGATGCACATTAAAATTTAGCAAGCATACAGATTGTTACCATCTGTGTGTGTGTATTTGTTAAACAACTGAGTACTCATTCAGCTACTTTCTTAGAGATGACACCCTTTCATGTGAAAGCAATTATAGGAATATCCTTAGAAGATCTTTTTTCTTTTTTCAATGATAAGAAAATATTGAAAACACAAGAAAAATACTCTTTATTTACTGAAAGGTACAAGTACAAGGTTGTTAGAAGTAAGGTTTGAGTGATTTTCATATCTGCTAAAATGTTCCCAAATGATTTGTAATTTTTTTATGGATCTTTATGAGACCTTGTTGTAAAGTCTCTTGTATAGGAAAATTTTAATATAGAAATGGTTTCTGTGTCTTTTCAGGAAGGTGAATAATAAAGTCATATCCGAAATCCATGGAAAATAGTGCTCAGTTCTCAGCCTGTCTTCTGTTTATTTTTGCAAAGGAAGTATGAAGTAAATTGGTGCTCTCAAATCAAATCATTACTCTTTTAGAATAGCTGGTGGTTTGATATCCAAGTTTTCTTTCTGGGTCAAGTTTGATTACTTAGAGATTAAAGAAAAAGAATTTTGGAAAAATCAATTGCCTACTCCTAATATAAGGAGGAATTGAAAACAAGCTTATTTCTTTTAAGTACAAGTGTACCTCACTCAAGGGTAGCAAATTCAGAATGTGTATTGGTTGGTAAATGTTTAAGTGATGTTATAAAGACTGAATTGTATATTTTATTAGCGCAGAATAATTTTGATGACTTAATAGATGAGACTAGAAAATATGCTTTTGTAAATATTTTTACTGCTTAAAATATTTTTAATGCTCAAAATAAAATAATTTAAGTAGATCAGCAGTAAGAGCTCACATAAAGGCTTTTCCTTTTATTAATATACCTTTATTTATTTCAATACCACTAGCAGTGTGACCTTGGGCCAATTACTTTCTGAGTTTCAGTTTCCTCAACTATGAGGTTAAGCAATTCCTCTTTCCCTTTCAGGGTTGTTGAAAGGCTTAATTTAAATAATGTAGATAATATCCCTTACCCGGCGCCTGACACGGAAATAGCTCTCAGTACCATTAACTTCCTTCCGTTGTTTTCACTGTTTTGTTCCATTTACACATAATTATTTAGATTTCACTCATATTGTAAATAAGAGTTCTCTTAAATTTTCTTTCATTATACTGGTTAAAGTTGAATCAAGAATATAAACTCCATGATGACAGAGACCTTATTTGTTTTGTTTTGTTTACTGTTGTATCCCAGGCACCTAGCATAGGACCTATGCATTTGAAGTAAATTTACTCGAATAATTTAGAGAACACTTTTGCAGTGTTTATTTGTCAGGTATATTCAATTGAAATTAATTTATTCAACAGACTTTTATTAATACGTATAATGTGCCAGGGACCATTCTGTCCTCATGGAACTTACATTTTAGCTGGGGGAATGGAAGACAATAAACCAGTAAACAAAAAAGTTAACATATTCGTAAATAATAATAAGTACAGTAGGTGCTGTGAGGCCATCTGGAGGAGTAAGGGCCATTATTTTAGATAGGGTGTGTAGGGAGGGCTTTCTAAAGAGGTGACATCTGAGCAGAAGTAGTAATGAGGAGAGGGCCATCTTTCAAATATCTAGGAGAAGAACATCATAGGCTGAGAGAACAGCAAGTGTAAAGGGCCTGAGGAGGGAATGAGCTAAATATGGTTCATTAATTCGGATTGTTAACATCCAAATGAAATTACTTCATCTAAATAGTATGGAGCAGAAGCAGAGACAATGTAAATGCTGCTTTTTGAGTGGAGTACTTTTAGGTATAGCAGTGAATCAAAGTGTAAGGCCATCAGTAGTCAAATTGCTCAAAAGTTCCCTTGTGTGTTGGTTATCCTTTAGTAAACTAGGTGTGACATTGCTCTTTGCCATTATTATGTGGCTTAACTAATAATACTGGGATTTTTGAGATCAGGAGGCTAGAAACCAACAAGTTTGAAATATGTGAGGTCTACAGCCTGCCTTCTCCTCTCTTATACTTGAATCAACATTTGCTTTCTAAATTTTTCTTCTCTATTTTGTTTCTTTTTCTCTATTATTTCTCTGGTTTCCTCTGTTGTAATAGTTCACTGCTACTCTTAAAAATAATGAGCATTCAAAATCATATTTGTCAGAAGGAAGAAAGGTCTTAAAGAACTTAAAGTTGTATTCTTCTGCAAGAGGCTGTAATTTACTGTTGTAACACGAAAACCTAAGGAATTCTTTTGTGATTATTTTAACTGTATACTTCTCATTGCTGTTGTCAAGTCTGATAACAAATGAACAGAATTCTACATTTCTGTTCTTAATATGAAGTCTATGCATTCTGAGAAATATAAAGAAATAGAATAATAAAGAGTTGGGGAACCTTTTAATCCCGTTATCTCTTGGGGTGTAGAGAATTTTGCATATAATTCCTGCAAATCTAGCACCTGAAGACTGATACCCTCAAAGGACAGTGTATAAATAACATCCTTTTTTTAAGGAAGGATAAAAATGTATTTGCTATGTCCAGTTCTGAGCTTTGAATTTAAAATATGATACATTTCACTAAGATGGCTTCAGAGGGTACTATTTTAAGCTAATTTCTCTATGTCATAACTTTAGCAAGTCAAGGCGTTAATAATTTATCCAGGATGTATAGGTAAGATATTTTTGTGCTTTAATGGAAAGTCTTATGTTTAATGGACTGGAGTACTGTCTGTTGCTGATTAAATACCTAAAAATATTAATTCTTGCACACTTGACCCAAGTGAGGGTTTTGCCTTCAGTAATGTGTTTTGCTTCTAAGAGCTCCCCTTTTCCATCTTCTTTTTAATAGCAACGTCATGACAACAGAGAAGAGTTTAGTGGCTGAGGCTGAAAATCCACAGCAGCAACAACAGAAGGAAGAGGGTGAGGGAGCCACAAACTCGGGTCAACAGGAAACCCAGCTGGAAGAGGCTCCTCAAGCAGCAGCCGAGGGAGATAATCAGTGTGAGCAGAAGCTGAAAACATCCAATGGAGACACTCCAACACATGAGGATTTGACCAAGAACAAGGAGCGGACATCAGAAAACAGGGGCCTGTCACGGCTGTTCTCCTCATTTCTCAAAAGGCCTAAATCTCAGGTCTCTGAGGAGGAAGGCAAAGAAGTAGAGTCAGCGAAAGAGAAAGGTGAAGGTCATAAAGAGATAGAATTTGGAGCCAGTCTTGACGAAGAGATCATTTTAAAGGCCCCGATTGCAGCTCCTGAGCCTGAGCTCAAAACAGACCCATCCTTGGATCTTCATTCATTAAGCAGTGCAGAAACACAGGTAAGGGTGTGCGAATGTGTGGGAGGTGAAGGGAGGTTATACACTCTACTTTTCATTTAAGAACATTTGGTTTTATTTCTTACTAGCCAGTTGTTAGTGATAAGTAACATGATGCTTCAGAGTTTCTGCTCTAAAGAAATTCATGTAGTCAGTGGTAACTTGATTTTTAGAAAGATACTTACACGGCATAAATCAAAGAAAAGAAAATGAAAGAAAAGAAATGTATCAAACGAGTTTACATTTTGCTATTATAATGCAAAAAGTCCAGGATTTTTAATGAGGCGGTGGGGGGGGGGAAAGTGAAGTGGTTTAGAGTTTATTTTGGTGGAATTATTAGAAATGCGGTAATTTAAAAGCAAACATGGTCCTTTCATGGAAGTCTTTATAAAAGTCATGAGATAGATTCAGACCACCCAGAGGTGTGTGATAAGTTTGAACCGTGTCTGCCTTATCTTTGTCATTTTCTCCAACTAGGTCATATTCCCACAGAGTGTAGGATATAGATGAGGAAAGTTAGCTCTTTATATCACCTTTGTAATATATAGTAGTTGGGTGGAGCCTTAATTGTGTCACAGTGTAACCTAAATATGAGTTGTGAATGTGGTCATCTGTCCAAAAATCATGAGAAAATATTAGTACTGTAACTCAAACTATTTTCTAGGAATCCCATTTATTTTCAGGCCTACTGAACTACAAATTAAGAGTTATTTTCAAAGTCTTTTTTTTTTCTGAAGCATGTGGGCATTATCTGCATTGTATAAAATGTAAGTCCTATATGTTTCTATTATAGGTCTCAAGTTTAGGCTATACAGTTTCATTAGACTTAAAAAAATATGTATTTCTAGAATGATTACTTATACATCAAAAGTGCTAAGAGTAAAGTTTAGGATAAAGTTGTTATTGTGTACTTGCTATAGTGAAACAAGGTTGAAAACAAAATTTTATTTATAGTATAATAGTTAAGAATGGAGGCTATGGAATCAGACTAGAGGGTTCAGGTTTAGAGAAGTGACACTTTTGCTTTATCAGTTTTCTCCTCTGTACAATGAGGATAATAATGTTCACCTTATTTGGCCATTATGAGGATTAAAAGAGATAAACGTGTAAAGCTCTTAAGACATTGCCTGACATATTATAAGCACTCAATAAATGTTAGTTATTATTACTTAGTCAATAAACATGAACAGTAAAGGCAGAGAAGCTACATATCTTAATGTCATTAATTTAATTTAATTTTAGGAGTACCAAAAGAGTTAAATTACATTATCTTTCAGGAAGTCTGGTACTTTCAAGAGGTTCTTAATTGCTTTTTTTCTCCTTTGCTTTATGTATGGAAAAATCCATATCTTGTTTTAATTAGCATTTGAATCAGGGCTAGTCTGTTTTGTCTAAAGATCATAACATTTGTACTGAAGTTGAAACAGATGACAAAGTTAATTTTAGATTTAACTAAAATCCCATTCATTGATTTCATAGTAGAATTTCATTTGAGTGGTCTTTTTCTATACCGGATTTTTTAAAAGTGAGTTTGCATTGTAGGACTGCACCAACCTTCATTTGGGTACCTTGGATTTTTTGGAAGCCATGTGTCATTTTTTAATACTTATTTATTTACTCAACAAATTTACTGAAAACCTGCTGTGTGTGCCAGGCCCTAAGCTGGTACATTGGTAAATAAAAACTATAATATGGCAAAGAGGTTTAAGATCATGAATTCTGGAGTCAAAGTGGTATGTGACTTACTGACTGTATGATCCTAGGCAAATTAACTTCTCTGGCCTCAGTTTCTTATTTGTCAAGGGGGGATAATAATAGTACCCTCCCCATAGGGTTAAATGAGTTCATGTAAGTAATGCTTTTAGAACAGTAAATGACCCATTGTAATTTCTATATAAATGTTTGTTATTATTTTCATTATTATTATTAAATATTATTATTATTGAACAAACATGATCCCTACTCTTGATAACTTTATAGTCTAATGGAAGAGACAAAAAAAGTAGTAAATACAAATTAATTATGTATTGTAATAAATGTTATGAAGGCAATAAACAGGGTACTAACATGAAGAATACTAGTAGAGTGGGGATAGGCCAGGTAGGATAGCCAGTGAAGGCCTTAATGAAGAGGTAACATTTAAGAGGGTCATGAAGGAGGGGAAGGAGACTTGTAGACACCTCCAATATATAATGCAGGAGGAGCAGGAGCCAAATAATTAAATCCTTTTTCCTAAATGTCAACTACGGTTTTTTTTTTTTGCGGTACGCGGGCCTGGCCTCTCACTGTCGCGGCCTGTCCCGTTGCGGAGCACAGGCTCCGGACGCGCAGGCTCAGCGGCCATGGCTCACGGGCCCAGCCGCTCCGCGGCATGTGGGATCTTCCCGGACCGGGGCACGAACCCGTGTCCCCTGCATCGGCAGGCGGCCTCTCAACCACTGTGCCACCAGGGAAGCCCCCTATATTTCTTTTGAATAGTTGATATTTAATCAATGCTTGTAAAGCAGTACTATCTTTTTACCAGCATCATAATGAAGTTTTTCTTTTCTTTAACCTTTGAAAATAAAAAACTCTAAAGTGTTTTTGAAATCTGTACTGCGTGTTTACTTTTGTCATTCATACTGTGAAAGCAGAGGCTTATTTTACTGTTTTTTTTTGTTTGTTTGTTTGTTTGTTTTTTGTGGTACGCAGTCCTCTCACTGCTGTGGCCTCTCCCGTTGCGGAGCACAGGCTCCAGACGCGCAGGCCCAGCGGCCATGGCTCACGGGCCCAGCCGCTCCGCGGCATGTGGGATCTTCCCGGACCGGGGCACGAACCCGTGTCCCCTGCATCAGCAGGCGGACTCTCAACCACTGCGCCACCAGGGAAGCCCCAACTACGTATTTTTTTGAAAGAAAAGAATTAGTGAGATTTAGTTAAGAACCTTTCAGCAATTTTATTGTGACGAAAGTGAGTGTATGCCAAAATGTTGTCTCACTTACCTGTATTACTTTGGGGTGACTTAATGATTGCCCTAGGACATCCAGATTTCAATCTGTCTCTTGCTTCTTTGACTCTTCTTTGCATTTATCATGGTTGATACCTGGTAAAAATGAGTTAATTGGTATTTACAGTTGTTAGCCTACTATACATATGTTGCCTTATGCTCTGAAAAGGTCCCAAGAACCCCTCTTAGCCATTCAAAAAAATTTATGGGTTTTTTTTGTTTTTTGTTTTTGGGCCACGCCTCGAGGCCTGTGGGATCTTAGTTCCCCGACCAGGGACTGAACCTGGGCCCTTGGCAGTGAGAGCGTGGAGTCTTAACCACAGGACCACCAGGGAATTCCCCATTCATAAAATTTAGATTGCATGAAAAATCACAACTCGTTTTGCAATTCATAAGGCTACCTCGCTAAAATTGAGGAGCATGGGGCAAAGATGTTTAAGTTTTAATAGGTTTTAATAATAGGCAATAGTATAGTCAGGGAGAAAATATAGTGCTGAGAGCAACAGATTGCTGTCCTCTGGTTTACCTGAAACCTTCATTTATTGATTTGAAAGATGGGATTTTACCTTCTATCATAAAGTTTTGAGAATAGCAGAGTCTGTGGATCTTTTGGGAGATCATAATATCTTTTACAGAAAAATAATCTTAATATCACTTGTATTTGTTTTAACAGTTTTTCTTCTTCAGTTAGTGCTTTTATTGGTAGCAATATTATAGGCAAAAGTGTATACGGCATGTTTTGTGAAATGTCTTTGTTACTGACTTGGTGATGTCATGGGTATGTAGCCTGCTCAGGAAGAACACAGAGAAGATCCCGATTTTCAGACTGAGGAAGGAGGAGGACTTGAAGACTGCTCTAAAACAGAAGTAAAAGAAGAAAGTCCTGAATCAGTAGCAGAAAGAGAATTAAAAACTTCCCAGAAATCGATCAGAAGACACAGAAACATGCATTGCAAGGTTTCTTTGTTGGATGACACAGTTTATGAATGTGTTGTGGAGGTGAGCGCATTTCAATCTCAAGTGGTTAGAACTCTTACAAATTGTTTCATGTAGGGTTGGGTAAGTGGTGCCGTGGCCCAAGACCCAGTATAATGAATATTTCTATGGACTGAAATGTTAATAGTGATTTTCTGGAGATGGAGGTGTGGAAGGATTATGAGTGAGTCTTATTTTCTTCTCCAGCTTTTTCTATATCTGCCAAATCTTGTGAATTGAGCATGTGTTACTTTTATAATCCAAAATAATTTTGTTTAAGAAAAAAATTGGTTTGTTATTTATAGAGTGATCTTCCATGACTAGATTTCCCAGGATAGCCTCAATTTCTAGGTCTAGCAGTACCCATAATTGTATTTATCAAAAAAAAAAAAAATTTACTATCTGTTCATTTCTGCTCTCCCAGATCTAAACCTTAATGAGCTTTATTTAATGTATTTCTTTAGCTCCATGAGATAGTATATAAAAACTTAAATTAAGTAATCCCATTTATTAAAATTCTCTATTATTTCCAGAAAGAATAAATAATTGAATCAAGATTGAATAAAAATGTCAAAGTTGTTTCAGTTATTCTTTTGCTTCTTCAAGACAAGTTAAAAGTCCTTAAAAATTTATCAGCTTTTTTTTTTTTTTTTTTTTTTGCGGTACGCGGGCCTCTCACTGCTGTGGCCTCTCCCGTTGCGGACGCGCAGGCTCAGCGACCATGGCCCACGGGCCCAGCCGCTCCGTGGCATGTGGGATCCTCCCAGACCGGGGCACGAACCTGCGTCCCCTGCATCGGCAGGCGGACTCTCAACCGCTGCGCCACCAGAGAAGCCCTATCAGCTATTTTTTTAACTAGAGCAGTAATTGCCAATTACGATATGCTTGATAAAAAGCAATCGTGATTATTACTAATAATAGCCTTTTGATAAAACATATAATTCACATATGCTTATATCTTAGGTGTGTAAAAAATTATTTTGAAATTGAATTATTTATATGCAAATATATCAAAACACAAATAAGTAGTCTAAAATATTATGCTGTGTTTATTAATAGGAATTCTCTCTCCAAGTTTTGAAATAGAAATCAAGAAAAATACACTGTTGCATTTTTAAAATAGTTACTACACCTGGTAACTGGAGAAGACCTAGGGTCTGCTCTTGCTGCTTCTCACCACTAGCTAGTCTAGAGATGGGGAAAGCTATTCCACACTCATTCTTCCCATTCAGACCAAAATCTAGATATGGGTCCCTTATATCTGAAACATTTGGGGGCAGATGTGTTTCAGAATTCAGAATATTTTGGGTTTTAGAATTCAGAATATTTTGGGTTTTAGAAAAGCAACAAGTACATATTCTGCAAATTTCATAATATTCCCAGCAGAGTGTGTAGCAGTAGGTACATTATCAAACACATTATTTCTATGGTAAAATATATGAAGATTCACTCTAAGTTGGATAAATAAAGATAAAATATAGCCCATAACAGTTCAGGTCAGAATTTGCCTTCAGATGAGCTTTGAACAAAAACAAAATAAACAAGCCCAACCTTTTACTTTTTAGAACTTCTGAATTTTGGAATTATAAATAAGGGAGTAGGGACCTGTATGTGAAGAATTCCCTAATCATCTCTGTCATGTAGAGTGAAAACATAGAAGGGAGAAAATGAAGAAAATGATATAATGTAGATGGGATAAGTCTAAAAATGAGTTAACATCTATGTGAATTACTAATAGTCATTAAAAATAGCTCAGCTCAGACATGTCTCTCGAAGGACATGTCATGTATATGTGCCAAAAAATGATTTCTAATTTTTTGGAAGTTTTTTTTTTTTTTTTTTTGGCGGTACGCGGGCCTCTCACTGTTGTGGCCTCTCCTGCTGCGGAGCACAGGCTCCGGACGCGCAGGCTCAGCAGCCATGGCTCACGGGCCCAGCCGCTCCGTGGCATGTGGGATCTTCCGGGACCGGGGCACGAAACCATGTCCCATGCATCGGCAGGCGGACTCTCAACCACTGCGCCACCAGGGAAGCCCTTGGAAGTTTTAAAAAATGTATTTCTCAGAAGACATTAACAAGTTTAATTTTTTTATTATTTAAAAATGTTTTTATTATTTTTTTTTTTTTAAATAAATTTATTTATTTATTTTTGGCTGCATTGGGTCTTCATTGCTGCGTGCGGGCTTTCTCTAGCTGCAGCGAGCGGGGGCTATATTCACTGCAGTGTGCAGGCTTCTCATTGCTGCACCTTCTCTTGTTGCGGAGCACGTGCTCTAGGCGCGCGGGCTTCAGTAGTTGTGGGGTGCAGGCTTAGTAGTTGTGGCTCACGGGCTTAGTTGCTCCACAGCATGTGGGATCTTCCCGGACTGGGGCTCGAACCCGTGTCCCCTGCATTGGCAGGTGGATTCTTAACCACTGTGCCACCAGGGAAGTCCAGCATGTTTAATTTTTTTCAACAATTCCAGTAGTTAGGTAGGACAGGTATACATTTTCTTATCACTTTACAGATGAGAAAGCTAATGTTCAGAAATTGACTCAGGTTGTTTAGCTAGTAAATGAAAAAGCAGGGACTTTTTCACTCTAAATCTCGGTCCCTAAGTTATGGCATTTCCTCCCTATAAACAGGAGTACAAGTCCCCCAAATTGGTAATGGTTTGATTTTCTGGGTAGAGAAACATTAAGAAATGATTTGTAGCACAACTGTAAGAACCACTGCAACGGGTAATGTCTGGAGGGTATCTAAGATCTTATACTTTATGCATTTTTCTGAAAGAGATTGCAGGGATTTGAGACATAGCTCATTGTCTTGGGACATTTGGTCTGGGAATGATAGAGAGTCTAATGATTTCCATAGCCACTGTTAATTGTCAGTGTTGTTGACAGCTGATTCAGTTAAGTCAGGTGCTCATGCTGACTGACAGCGACCCATAGCAGGCTTCAGGAAATACACCAAAAATAAAGAATGTAATGTTTAGGATGGAGGTGGGGGATGCTTGATGGAATTTTGCTTTGAATTGTAGCAGCATTTCCAAGCAACTATAAATGTGTTGCATATTTAAACTGACAAATTAAGAAACAGGATTTTTGTTACTCACTTTGTTCTACTTGCACTGTGCAGCCACCTGAAAGTGTTAGTAACCAAGGATAAAAGAGAAAATTGGAAAGTGACATTTTATGTTATTTCATGATAAATTCAGGAATAAGAGGAAACCTCAACTAAAGTATGTGTATCTTTGCAGAAACATGCTAAGGGACAAGATTTACTTAAACGAGTATGTGAACACCTCAATCTTTTGGAAGAAGACTACTTTAGTCTAGCCATTTGGGATAATGCAACCTCTAAGGTGAGAAGACTGCTTGTAATATAAGAAACTGACCCCCCAAAATTGTTTTAATTCTTTTACTGCTGTTAAGAATGTATTTATTCCTGCCTCTCCGAGATACAGTGTACGTAGTAAGGAAAGATATTGAAGGTAATTAAAAAACAAAACAACACCTCTAATACTACAGTGAAAAACTTTCTGCAGCTGTGAGTTAGAAAGTTCTCCCATGAATCGAGGAAAATACTCTGAAAAGTATTTTATGTTATACAAGCTCAGTGAGATAAAATCGAATGTTTTTATATTGTGTGTGTGTACCCCACTCAGGTTTATGTTAGAATATTTGAGAATACTTGAATTTGGCATATAAATGAAGTCACTGAGTACCAGTACCTACTTGTTTAATGTAACTGTTATAATTTTTCTATGAACCAAGTATACTTAAATTGCTGGGAGCTGGCTCATCTAAAGGCATTCAGCAGAGGAAATTCTTTCATCTTGCAGTTGAGCTTCCAGTGCTCACATTGGTAAAAACCTTCCAGTTGCTTTGAAAACTTTTTGCTATTGTTGGTGTCATCCATACTCTATCGTATCAGCAAATTTTATTTCCTTATAGTAGTTTTCACTATCCTATTTATTTTTTAATGAGAAAATATTAAATTGCTTTATTTATATTCATTGATATATTTCTGTATAAAGTGATGTTAAAAGTGCCCAATATAAAAGCTGAATTTGATTGTACAGCAAACAACAAATCTGGCTGTTAAAAAGGGCTTTATTGTCCCCCTTAGATAAAATATTTCTGGGAAAAAAAGTTGATGTCTCTGAATCATAATCTAGTTTCAACTTCTCTGATTGTTTATAAGAACCCCTTCTGGGGAAGTCAGTGGACAAGTGAATCCTGGGAAACATAGGGCTTATCATATTTGGGGCATCTGGAAGGTCTGATGGGCCAGGTTCTTACAGGATATGGTTGGGGTAATGGGCTGTTCTATATTTTCTGCTTCTAAATTCATCATGGCTAACTTCCAGCTCTCGGAAATAGGTCAAAGCAGAGTTTTCCTTTGGGTTAAAATGAAGGTCTTTAGCTGATTCAGGTAGAACAAGTAGAACATAGAAGGGAAAGCAGGAACTTCATTTGCACATGGCCCAAGTAAATCCTGTACAAAAATGAGTTTGGAGAAGACTTCCTTAGCATTGTCAGGTTAAAGGGACAATACAGTAGCAAAAGCCATTGTGATGGTGACAGTCCTTCTTCAATATGCTATCTCTTTGAGTCATACTTTTCCAGTCTGGATGAGTTGCTCTCTCTGTCTTGTATATAGTTGACCCAGGTATTTCCCATCACCATTATCCTGGGGACTTGTTGTACTTCTCTCCTGTGATGTTTCTCTTGTTTCCCCTTTATCTTAGCATTTCCTGGTATTTGATAGAGCACGCCTTCTGAGAAATTACATATGGGATGTAATCTTTTTGAGACATTACATGTCTGAAAATGTGTTTATTGTACTGTAGTATTTGGTTGTTAGTTTGGTTGGGTATAGAATTTTAGGCTTGAAATGATTTGCCTTCATAATTTTGAAGGCATTGCTCCATTGTCTTCTAGCTTTTAATGTTGGCTATTGAGAAGGTCAAAGCCATTCTGACTTGTGATGCTTTGTATGATCTCCCCTCTCTCTTGCCCTGTGTGGAATTAGGCTAGTAGAATCTTTTACCCTCCTTCCTTCCCTCCCTCCCCCCACCCTCCCTCCCTCCCTCCTTCCCTCCCTCCCCCCCACCCTCCCTCCCTCCCTCCCTCCTTCTCTTCTTTTTCTCTCTTTCTTTAGTGTGCTGAGATTCACAGTGATGCATCTTTTAAAAAAATTTATTTATTTATTCATTTATTTAATTTTTTGGCTGCATTGGGTGTTCGCTGCTGCACGCAGGTTTTCTCTAGTTGCTGAGAGCGGGGGCTACTCTTTGTTGTGGTGCACAGGCCTCTTATTGTGGTGGCTTCTCTTGTTGCAGAGCACAGGCTCTAGGCGTGCGGGCTTCAGTAGTTGCAGCACGTGGGCTCAGTAGTTGCAGCTCGCAGGCTCTAGAGCACAGGCTCAGTAGTTGTGGCTCACAGGTTAGCTGTTCCACAGCATATGGGATCTTCCTGGACCAGGGCTCGAACCCCTGTCCCCTGTATTGGCAGGCGGATTCTCAACCACTGCGCCACCAGGGAAGTCCCCAGGGAAGTCCCCCAAAACTTTTTATCTTTTTGAACAAAGAACTGTTCCAGGTGCCTTTTATAGTCTTCCAGGGAATTGAAATTTTTTCCACTAAGAGAATTTTGTAGAGACCTAAATAAATGGAAATCCGAAGGTGCAGTGTCTGGTGAATATGGTGGATGAATCAGAACTTCCCAGCCAAGCTGTAACAGTTTTTGCCTGGTCATCAAAGAAACATGCGGTCTTGCATTATCCTGATGGAAGATTATGCATTTTCTGTTGACTAATTCTGGATGCTTTTTGTGGAGTGCTGCTTTCAGTTGGTCTAATTGGGAGCAGTACTTGTTGGAATTAATTGTTTGGTTTTCCGGAAGGAGCTCCTAATAGAGAACTCCCTTCCAATCCCGCCATATACACAACATCCCCTTCTTTGGGTGAAGACCAGCCTTTGGTGTGGTTGTTGGTGGTTCATTTCACTTGCTCCACGATCTCTTCCTTTCCATATTATTGTACAGTGTCCACTTTTCATCGCCCATCACAGTTTGTTTTAAAAACAGAATGTTTTCATTACATTTAAGTAGAGAATTGCATGTGGAAATACGGTCAAGAGGATTTTTTTTGCTTAACTTATGTGGAACCCAAACATCAAAGTGATTAACATAACCAAGTTGGTGCAAATGATTTTCAGTGCTTGATTTGAATATTTTGAGTATGTCAGCTGTCTCCCTCGTGGTATAACGTTGATTGTTCTCAGTTAATGTCTCGATTTGATCGCTATCCACTTCAACTGGTCTACCAGCCCATGGAGCATCGTCCAGCAAGAAACCTCTAGCATGAAACTACTTTTGACACATTCGGTCAGTCACAGCACCTTCTCCATACACTGCACAAATCTTTTTTTGCGTTTCAGTTGCATTTTTACCTCTCTTGAAATAATAAAGCATAATATGCCGAAAATGTTGCTTTTTTTCCTTCCATTTTCAATATTAAAATGTCATACAAAAATTCACCAATTTTGATAAGTCTTTTTTTAAATGCATGTTGATATGACAGCTGTCACATATAATCTAACAAAATTGTTTCAAATGAAGTTGAAGACAACTAAGTGCTTCCAGAGCCATCTTAACGGAAAAAACAAAATGAACCTTTTGGCCAACCCAATAGTTGCTTCCTAGATTTTATTCCTGCTTGGAATAAGTTATTTATGAATGAATCAAGGATTTTTTCTGGAGGATTCCAGAATCCCACTTTGTTTCCCCTTCTAGTCACTACCGCCAGCCCCAACAATCAGTACTCCTACCTCAGGCCCTGTCAAAAGTAACAGATGTCTTCCTAACATCTATCACCATCAATTAGTTTTGCCTGTTTTTAAACTTTACATAAGCGAAACCATACAGTATGTGCTCTTAGGTCTGGCTTCTTTTGTTTTGTTTAATATCATGTTTTTGAGTATCATCCATGTTGTGGCGAGTAGCAGTAGTTCATCCATTCTTGCTGCTGTATAATGGTTCATTGTTTGACTATACCACACTTCATTTATGCATTCTACTGTTGATGGACATTTGGCTTGTTTACAGTTTGTGGCTTTTATGAATGCTGCTCCTGGGAACATTCTCATACATGTCTTTCAGTGCATATCTTGTCATATTCATTTCTGTTGGATTCCCAGAAGTGGAATTGCTGGGTTGTGGATGACACATATATGATCAGCTTTAGTAGACACTATCAGTTTTCCAAAGTGGTGCTACCAGTTCACACTCCCACCAGCACTAAGGGTTGCAGCTGTGCCACATCCTCACCAGCACTTGGTATAACACACTGCATTTTGATTTCTGCTCTTACCACTCTGCTGAACTGCCCTTGCCAAGATAAATCTGACAGGTTTTCATCTTCATGTTCCTTGTCCATTTTGCAGCATTGACGAGCTTGCCTATCCATCCTTGAAATGTTCTATTCCTTTGGATTCTGTGATACCAGTCTCTCCTGTTTTCCTCCTACCACTTGGTCACTTCTTCTCAGTTTACTTCTCAGCTCTTTATCCTCTCTTCATCCCTTAACTGTAAATGTTCCCCAAGGTTTATCTTTAGTTTCTTTCTTTTAACTCTATTATATGCTCCCTGGATTATTTTTATCTACTTTCATGGCTTCATTTGCCACCTATATGGGGGAAGTGCCCAAATTTATATCTCTGGTTAAAATCACTCTTCTGAGTGCCAGACCTGCTAATCCAGCTATCTACTGAAATATTCTACTTGGATTTCCAAAGACACCTTGAACGTGTATCTATATAAATATACCATAATTTATTTATTCTATTGTTGATGGACATTTGGGTTGTTTTCAGTTTTTTGCTATTGTTTTCTTCTTCATGAAAATTTATTCCTTTTCCTACATTTTCTGTTTCAGTGAATAGTACCACATCTACCCAGTTGCCCAAGCCAGCAACTTAGGAACTTTTGTTTACTACTATACTTTACACCTCTCATCATCAGCCCACCCTATTTACTCAGTCACAAATCCTGACTATTATCATTCTCAACAACAGCTTCTTATTTGGTCTCCCTGTCTACCTCAAATTTGTGTCACTCTTATTTTAAATCCTTCAGTGATTCTCCCTTGCCTGTAACTTGATGAAGTCCAAGTTTCTTAGCATGGAATACTATGGCCTCTATGATCTGGCCCTTACTGTTCTTTTTCATTTTACATCTCTCCTCTTCACTTCTGTGCTCCAGCTTTGCTGAACTACATTCAGCAACTCAGATGTATCATGTTCTCTTTATATACCCTGTGCCTTTCTAATTACTTCCACTTCTTTTTTTGCCTGGCTAACTCTTATTTGTTCTTCAACCCTAAATTAGATCTCCCAAACATTCTTTTTTTTTTTACCTTTTTTTCCCCCCAAAACATTCTTTTGAGAAACATTTCCTAACTGCCTCTAAGAAAAGACAAATTGTTCACTACTCAGCTCTTCCTTTAGACTGACAGCTCCTTGAGGACAAGCACTATTTTTATTTTTATTTATTTATTTTTGTGTGGTACGCGGGCCTCTCACTGTTGTGGCCTCTCCCGTTGCGGAGCACAGGCTCCGGACGCGCAGGCTCAGCAACCATGGCTCACGGGCCCAGCCGCTCCGCAGCATGTGGGATCGTCCCGGACCGGGGCACGAACCCATGTCCCCTGCATCGGCAGGCGGACTCTCAACCACTGCGCCACCAGGGAAGCCCCTACAAGCACTATTTTTAAATCCTTTTTTGTAACTTTGGTGCCTAGCACGTGGAGGCATTCCTAAATACTTGTTGGCTAAATAAAATGCTCTGAATTGAATAATTTAAATTGAGCATAAAGTACCTATTGTTATGCACACTGATTTTTTATTGTCTTGTACACACTTTTTGATTTTGACTTTGATTCAGAGGTCTAGATACTGAAGAAATAATACTTTGTTCTATAAGGTACCTTATACCTTGGAGTCCCATGTGATTGGCACAAATCTGGATTTGCCCCCTCTATGTCAGATTGGTGGGAATTCTAGCCTTAGAGTCATAGAATGGCTCATGCAATCCCTGTAAGAAACTTGGCAGCTTCAGGCTACTTTGGGAGGTTTCTCTTAAAAATAGGGAAAATATGGAGTCACCTCACTCTGTAGGGGAAGTGTTCATTCCACAGTGATAGAAAGTAGTCTTTGTTAAGAGTTCTGGATTGCAAGGTTCTCAGAGGTTCCACAAAACTTATCAGTTGGTGCTTTTAAAGTCCTCTTTTGCCTTTGGACCTATAACAACTTAAAGTTCTTTAGTCTTAATGAGAGAGGAAGGAGAAACACCCAGGTTACCCCCTGCCCTTTCTGACAGGACTTAAGCAAGTATGTACTTAGTTTTTATACTTTAGAATAATTTTATATTAAGTGATATTTTAAAAAACATACATTTCTTAATCATCTGTGTTAATTGCAGGGGCAGGGGAGAGAAAAGGAAACTCGTCCTCACTCTTTGCTTATTATCTGTTGTGGTGACTATGTTTATATAATGGTTAGTGTAATATATAATCAAATGTAAGATTGCGGTGTTCAGGCCCACTCCTTGGGTAGGGCAAATGGGATGGTCATCTTGAACTTTGCCCTTGTTGGTACAGGGTGAGGAGTAATCCCCCCTTACTCTTCTTTTCTAAATACGACTAAAATTCAATTTTAAACATTTTGGAAGGGGGAATGGGGTGGGGGGATTGGGAGCAGGCATGAAAGGGGCTCCTGAGGTGCTGGTAATGTTATATTTATATGTTCACTTTGATAATTTATTGATCTATACGTATGTTTTATGTACTTTTCTGTATATGTCTTATGTCAATAAAAATCTTTTAGACAATTCAATTTAGAAATTTCTGTCTTTAAACATTTCTCTAGGAGCCTATGAAAGATGTTAATGGTGAGGCTCTTTTTAAGTGCCATTAGTTTTGCATGGTCCACTATGGGTTGAGGAACCTTGCCCTTGTGGTGTGCAAATTTTAAGTGGGGTTGGAGAATGGTGAAGGGAGAAATTAGTGTGGGCAAGAGTAGTCAGGAAAAACAAAATAGTTATTCATTCAGTAAACATTAACTGAGCATGAACCATCTACCAGGTGCTGTGCTGACACAGAAAACTTGAATGAGACTGGAGGTCAGAGTTGGAGGGAAAAATAAGATCTATGTTATAGATCAATAATCCTGGTTATAGATCTCTATTTGTCTTTACAGAATAATAAAAATAGCAAGTGCTTATTTAGCATTCCTTGTTTGCTGAAGCTTTACATATATTACCTTTTAATCTTCACAGTAACCCTGAGATAGGCCCTACTGATAATATCTCATTTTATTTCCTCTAATAGATGAGGAAACTGAAGTACAAAGATGCTTAAAGTCACTCACCTAGGAAGTAGTAGAGCTAGGATTCAAGCCCAGCTGTCTGGCTCCCTGTTTCTCTGTTCAAAATTACTGTGCTATGTGAAACTAATGCAAAAAATATTGGAAATGTAGGTTGACCTGGAGACACTATTGGAGATGGTCAGTAATCCTGCTTCTGGTACTCTGTGGTTTATGTATTTTGGAGCTCTGTGTGAATGCCTTTTCTTCTTTTTACAGACATGGCTGGATTCTGCCAAAGAAATAAAAAAGCAGGTTCGTGGTAAGTGAATATAGCCCTTTTTCTAGCTCTTTCTTTTTTTTAGTAGGTCAGAGGATTTCCAACCTTTTTCTGGCTGTGAGTCACTTTAGAATTCTGACTATGGTAGATGGCTTTGAAATTAAGATAAAGCCTTCCTTTGGAAGGTAGAGATTCCATAATAGAAAGATACAGCAGAGGTAGACACTATTGAGATGTAGGTCAGATCTTGATGATTTTTTTTTACAGCTAGGCAAAGTGGGGGAAGATAGGAATGATTGAGAGAAACAGAAGGTGGAAACAAACAAAGAATAGAAGAGAAAAGGATATGGGAGTCAGTTCTCACAATGGTAGTGATTGAAACTGTAGTAGCTTACGATTGGGAGTTTGCTGCCTGATCCTGTTCCATTTAAATTGTTCTGGACTATTGAGTTCTAACCTTCTCCATGTTTTCTTCTCTATAGTTCTTTTTTGTCCCTTTTCAACTGTCTTCTTCCAAATTGAAGTATGTAAGGAACTGTGGAAGGAAAAAAAAGAATAGAAGAAATTCCTTGCCAGTGACCCTTCTGTCATTGTGGCTTTCTCTTAGCTCCAAGCCCTCTGGCATATATTACTGCTGAACACCCTGCTCAGACTGGTGTCCTGGGATAGATTTTTCTAGGTTGATAAAAGTCTAGATTAGTATTTTGTAGCCTCAGGCCCAATGGGCTAAAGGGTAGAGACTTTACCCACCCCCCCACCCCACCCCCCCAGTTATGACTAGATGTCCTTTCAGTTTAGTTTATTTTTGAGGAAACTTGTAGGAACTGCAGTAGATGTTATTCATCATGATTAGTAAGTTTTAACTGTATCACCTGAAAAGAAGTTTTGTTTTTCATTTGTTTCTTAAAAGAAAACACTTTTGTTATGGTGAAATGTTTTCTTTTAGACCCTATTTATTTATATTTCTTAAGATAGAGAAACAAAATACTACTTTGGCCTGACAACTCTCCATATTTGCTCTCTGCCTATAAAATCTTGTTTTAAATTGCAAATCAGAGTAAAAAGTATTCAGAATATTTGAGACATGACAACAAAAAACATGATTCCAAGCCCCTTTCAATGAAGATACTTTTAATATTCAATATTACTCAGGAATAAATGATTGTACAAGAAGACTCTTTAGGAAGAAAAGTTAAAACAGAGTTTATGATGAGTGGAGAAGACTATCTAGTAGATTATCTTCCAGGCTATTGAGAAAAAAAAACTCTCGCTAAGAAAAATAACCTAAGTGTTTGTCGTTTAAAAAAAAATTTACAAAATAATAAAACCTCTTCCTTCAACATGGGAAAGAAAAACTGTGTCTGTAACACAAACTTTAACATCAAAATGTAAATATTTCATTGAGCCAAAGAGAAGGTTGACATTTATCTATTGCAAAGATTTTGGGTTTTTTAAAAATAGTTTTCACGGGCTTCCCTGGTGGTGCAGTGGTTAAGAAGCCGCCTGCCAATGCAGGGGACACGGGTTTGAGCCCTGGTCCGGGAAGATCCCACATGCTATGGAGCAACTAAACCCGTGCGCCATAACTACTGAGCCTGCACTCTAGAGTCCACGAGCCACAACTGCTGAGCCCGTGTGCCACAACTATAAAGCCCGCACACCTAGAGCCCATGCTCCGCAACGAGAAGCCTCTGCAATGAGAAGCCTGTGTGGCACAACTAGAGAAAGCCTGCGCACAGCAACGAAGACCCACAGAGCCAAAATTAAAAATAAATAAATAATTTTATTTTTTAAAAAAGCCCTTGAGTTTAAAAAAAAAAAGTTTTCATCAAACAAGTAATATATACCCATTTGAAAAATTTAAGCATTATGAAAATATATCATGAAGCAAGTAAAAAGCCTGTAAAGCCTATCCTCCAGATGTAATCACTGTTAAACTGGTATGATCTGTAAGATTTTTTTCTAGGCATATATAAATTTTGCTTTTCAATAATACAATTATGTTATACATTGTTATATATTGTATTTTCTGTATATTATATCATATGTAGTTTTAAAATTTTTAAAATAGGTGATATAAATATGAGGTATGAAATTAAAAGATACAGATGAATGTAATACAAGGTCAATCTTCCTTCTTCCCCTGTCCTTTAACTAATTTCTTGTGTTCTGTCCAGAGGTGTTCTGAGTGTATATAGACATACATTTTAATATAAATATGTATTTAATGCATACATTATATTTTATATATAATATACTTTATAAATATATTTAATATAAATATGTATGTTCTGTATGTATTTAATATACATATGCAATCTTTAACATAATTTGTATACTCTTTATATTAATATATATCAATTTATTTCATTTGTTAAAATTTTTTTTTAATGATTATAAAGTTGTAGCACTGTATATATATATATATATATATAGAGAGAGAGAGAGAGAGAGAGAGAGAGAGAGAGAGAGAGAGCATGTATTGAATATATATGTATATGTGCACTTAGATGTATCTGTAGTAAATTGCTAGAAGTAGAATAAAAAAGTATGAATGTTTAAATTTGTAATAGATATTCACCAGCAAGATTTTTTCCATATTTCAAAAAATATAGAAAAGAATGGAGGCTAATATAACAAATACCCATGTACCCATCACCCAGAATTAACATATGTTAACTTTTACATTTAAAATAGAACAGTACAGGTAAGGTTTATCTCCTAGTCCCATCCCCTTCTCTCCCTATCCTTAGAAATCTATTTTCATGAATTTGAGGTGAGTCAGTCCATGTTTTTATATTTTTCCTTCATATATCCGTACCCATGTACAATAGATAGTATTGCTTCGCCTGTATTTTTGAAATTTCCCTCGGACCTAACAATCCATTTGAACCTTCTATGGTTTATCAGTCTCTCTTCCTTCTCCCAGCTTAATATTTAGCTTTGTTTAACTTCCTTGGTTCTGAATGAGAGAGAGCTCCCCTGCTGAGTCAGGCTAGCAACTTCCACCTCCTTCTGGAATAGTACAGAGCAAAAGCAAGAAATCCTTATACCTTCTGAAAAATACTGATACATAAAATAACACAAACTGTGTTTAAGAAATTCTATAGCCCAGGATATGCCCCTTCTAAATGTATCCTCCTCTCCTTCCCCTGCAGAAGTCACCACTGCCCTGAATTTTGTGTTAATGATTCCATTGTACTTTTTAATGTTTTTAAAAAATTACCTAATGTATGAATGTATACCTAAAAATATTGTTTTACCTTTTTGAGCATCATATAAATTGAATTATATAACAGTTAATCATTCGTGACTACCTTTTCTTATAAACATGATTTTGGAATTCATCTCAGTTGAAAAGAAAATTTCACCGTGATATCCTCTGAGTTTTTTCTTTTCTTTTTTTCTTTTTCTTTTCTTTTTGGCTGCACTGTGCGGCTTGTGGGATCCTAGTTTCCCCACCAGGGACTGAAGCCGGGCCCTGGCAGTGAAAATGCCAAGTCCTAACCACTGGACTGCCAGGGAATTCCTCCTCTGACCTTTTTCTCTTGTATTCTGTTTCATTTTTAAAGTGCTGATTTTGACCCATTAAACTGATTTCACAATGGATCATGATCCACAGTTTAAAAACCCTACCAGGACTTCCCTGATGGTGCAGTGGTTAAGAATCCGCCTGCCAATGCAGGGGACACAGGTTCGAGCCCTGATCCAGGAATATTCCACATGCCGTGGAGCAACTAAGCCTGTGTGCCACAGCTCTACAGCCTGTGAGCCACAACTACTGAGTCCGAGTGCCACAACTACCGAAGCCCGGGTGCCTAGAGCCTGTGCTCTGCAACAAGAGAAGCCCCCGCTTGCTGCAACTAGAGAAAGCCCGCGCACAGCAACAAAGACCCAATGCAGCCAAAAATAAATTAATTAACTAAAAAAAAAACACCCCACTGATTTAGACTTAAAGTGGAATTGCTAGATTATAGAGTATGTTTATTTTTAGTTTTACCAGATATAGCCAAATTGCTCTCCTTTAAATTGATTGTAATAGTTTACATCCCCACCAATAGTGTATGAGATAGTTCCTGTTTTCCTGTGTACCCAGAAGGCAGGAAGTTTTTTTCAATTATTAATTTTAAAAATGTTTGGACACAATTTCAGACTTAAAAGTTGAAATAATGGTACAAAGAATTCCTGGGCACCCTTCACCCAGATTCCTCAGATGTTAATATTTTACTATTTTATCTTTTCTCTTTATCCACACACACACACACACACACACACACACACACACACTGACACACACAAAACCTTTTTTCTGAACCATTTAATAGTAAGTTGCATCGTAGCAGCGCCATTCACAATAGCCACTTTTTTCTGCCCCCAACTTTCACAGTTGCTTTCTATATGCGCTGTTCTTTGCCTTGATTTTTTTTTTTCACTTAACAGTATATAGTGGCAGTGTATCTTTTCTTGCTAAATAAATACATTTAGGTTGTTTCCAGACATTTGCTATTACAAACAATATCTTATACCTGTATCATTTGACCACGTTTAAGTGTATGTTTAGATACATTTATGAAAGTGGAATTGCTAGGTGAAAGAGTATATACATTTTATGTTTTGATAGATATTCTCAATTGTTCTCCATAGTGTTGTACCAGTTTACACTCACATCAGCAATAGAAGAAAGTGCTTATTTTCCCCACCAATCGTGGGTGTTATCAAGCTTTTTATATCAGTTAGCTCAAAGAGAAAAAAAAATCACACTTTGTAAACTGTTGTTGATTTGCTTTCTTTAATGCTAGTCTTCCTATACTATTAAAAAATTGCCATTTATATATGTTATGAAATAACTGAATTTGTGTTTAAAGTTCTTAAATGCTGAATTCACATTTATTGAACATTCTTTTAGCTGTCTTGTTTCCCATATTGATTTACTCTAGCCAGTACATTTTAAAAAATAAATTTATTTACTTATAGCTATGTTGGGTCTTCATGCTGCACGTGGGCTTTCTCTAGTTGCAGCGAGCAGGGGCTACTCTTCGTTGTGGTGTGCGGGCTTCTCATTGCGGTGGCTTCTCTTGTTGCAGAGCATGGGCTCTAGGCGCGTGGGCTTCAGTAGTTGTGGCTCATGGGCTCTAGAGCACAGGCTCAGTAGTTGTGGCGCACACGGGCTTTGTTGCTCCGCGGCATGTGGGATCTTACTGGACCAGGGCTCGAACCTGTGTCCCCTGCACTGGCAGGTGGATTCTTAACCACTGTGCCACCAGGGAAGCCCTCTAGCCAATACATTTTTTATAGGTAGCATAGAAGTCATCTTTTTTTAATGTCTATATGGGAATTATAAGTTAACAATGATTAGATTATTAACATATCATAATCATAACAACAGATGGTATTTTACAGTATTTGAACTGTAAATATTGCCTCCCCATACCCTTACCCTTTTTATGAGAAACAATTATGGGGTTGGTTTCCTAAGTTCCATTTAAAGTTTCTGGGATGTGAAACATTAGAAGTGAGTTAATGGTAAACATTAGGATTGAGTAGATTTGAGACAAGTTTGTTTTATTGTCTGGAATTTGCCTTTTAGTTCAAATTTTGAAGGAAAATATCAACCATTTCCAAGGGACTCCTGTATTAAATATTTTAGCATGCTTAAAACTGCATATTCTTTAAGACATTTAAACTATTTCAAATTTTAATTTGCATATGGTCATTGGCAGCCAATAGCAATAAAAATGATATTTGGAGATGAAATGCTGTGAATGCAAAACAGAACAATGTTTGAAACACAGATGTTTGTTATAGGGTAGTAGAGTCCAATGGTTAAAAGCATGGGATTTGGGGTAAGAGAACCCTGGATTCACTAGCTATGTATTTTCTTAAGCCTCTGTTTCTTCATAAATAAAATGAACTAATAGTAGCACCTACCTGTATGTAAGAGGGCTAGCTTAGTATCTGGCATGCAATAAGTACTGAACAAAATGTATCTCTTAGCATCATAACCAATCATACTTATTTCTTTATTTTTATTATTATTTTTTTTTTTGCGGTATGCGGGCCTCTCACTGTTGCGGCCTCTCCCGTTGCGGAGCACAGGCTCCGGACGCGCAGGCTCAGTGGTCACGGCTCACGGGCCTAGCTGCTCCGCGGCATGTGGGACCTTCCCGGACCGGGGCACGAACCTGTGTCCCCTGTATCAGCAGGTGGACTCTCAACCACTGCGCCACCAGGGAAGCCCAATCATAACTTATTTATAACTGAGACCAGGCCCTACTCTTTGAGAAACTAACAGTCATGTTAGAAAAACCTTGAAGGGGTAGCACTTAGCTGGAAAAATTGAAATGCATTCTCCACTTAACTTTTACTCACAATTTCTGACTTTCATTGTAGATAAAAAATATGAAACACTTGTATGAGTCTTAGGATTAAATTCTTGTAGTTTTCATACCTAAAATATTTTCATTAGAGCTATAGTTTCTAAGAGCCACCTATATTGCCTCTTCCTTCTTATTTCTAAAATAATCTCTTAATCTCACCCATATTCTCACCCATATTAATGGGAAGAATGCTTTTGTTTATTTGAGATAATGTTGAGAGATGTCACAAATAAATAATGCCAACACCAAAAGAAAACATCCATGGATCACTTTGAATGACCTCTGAGGACCCAGAGTGGTATATAGATCACATTTTGAAAACCATTGCTACAAACATGTTCACCTATAGGATGGTTTCCTTTATGTTATTTTGCTTATAATGTTTTATAAACAAAACTATTAAGTCGGGTAAAAAAAATGAGATAGATGGTGTCTAAACAACTTTCTTCTTTTTCTTTTTTAAATAAAAATACTATTTCACCCACAAAGCATGAAAGTATTAGGACACTTCAAGAAAAAAAAGATTTTTTTGAATATTTTTAGGTATTTCTAACAACCAGAAACTTAGGCATAAGCATACAATTCTTTTGTGTTTATTTTTACAGGTGTCCCTTGGAATTTCACATTTAATGTAAAGTTTTATCCACCTGACCCAGCACAGTTAACAGAAGATATAACAAGGTAAATAATTTATTAATAGTTAAATATGTAATAAGTAATCTCATTATCATAAGCTCTGGGAATTTCTCCATTCAGAATTGAAGAAAAATGATGAGCTATTAAACCTAAGATAAAATGTTTCTGGTCACTTCAAGGCAGGCTTGCAAATAAGTGATCCTAAAAGCCTCAAATATCTGTGACTCGCCTGGAGAAAACTGGTAGGGAATTAACCTTGCTTATCATGGGTATTGTGCCATGCTGTGGACAGGGAACCTATAAACCATACTGTCCTCCAAAGGACAAGAGACAAATATAGTGGCAAAACAGCTCTGCCGTTTTTTTGTTTGTTTTAAATACTCCTCTCACACCATGCTGTTCCTTAAGGGATCAAAAAAACTAAAGTCTCAGTGTTACTATTTTTTTCTTCCTATTCCCCTCTTAAATTGTATAATTAGGTACGTGAACTGAACATTCCTCAGTAATTTTTTTTTTTTTTTTTTTTGCGGTACGCGGGCCTCTCACTGTTGTGGCCTCTCCCGTTGCGGACAGGCTCCAGACGCGCAGGCTCAGCGGCCACGGCTCACGGGCCCAGCCGCTCCGCGGCATGCGGGATCCTCCCGGACCGGGGCACGAACCCGTGTCCCCTGCACTGGCAGGCGGACTCTCAACCACTGCGCCACCAGGGAAGCCCCCTCAGTAATTTTTGAGCCCACTTAATTTATGAAATAAATCTTGTACTGTTTAAAAATAGCTTACTGATTCCTTTTTAAGAAAGTGGCCTTTATTGGATTCTATATAAATACTGAATATTAGCAAAAAAGCAAAAAGGAAAAACAGTATATAGTAAAGAATACTACTCTACATATGTATATCCATAGCATCTTGCATAGAGCCTTATACGTAGTATGTATTTGGCAAATGTTTGTTCAATTGAATGTTGGTTGTTGAGAAACTGCTTTCTAATTCTGATTTTGCTGTCAACTATCTGATTTCAGACAAATATACACTCTCTAGGCTTCAGTTTTCATCTCTCTCAAATAAGAATAGCATAAGACTATTAAAAGGTCTGCTTGTTAAGTACTGTGAAATGTCTGTGCCATTTGAAAAAATTATTCTTTGTCCAGTTATCCTTAGTACATTCTTGAAGTTGAGATGCAATATCTCTGCCTGAAAAAATTGTCTTGGTTATTGCTTTTTCACAGGTAATATTTGTCTCTTAGAGTTGCTAATTATTCATCTTTCTTCATTAAGGTTTATTATATATACAACAACACAAATCCCTAAAAATCTGTACTAATTACCTACATTTTAGAAGAGTTTAAGATTCTTATGATTTGATTGGCATTGCTCTGACTTTTTAAAAAAGATGTATGTAGTGACTAATCATAGCAAAAATGATTGCTGGTGCATATGTTGTTCAGCATCTAATTATGGTCAAGTCAAAGATAAGATTCTAATCAATATAGGAGTTTTCAATTTAATCATACCTCCCAGCTTTCCTGTTTGGTAAAAGAGTCTGAACTGGTTAACCCAGTCAGAACAAGGGCTAAGGAGGTCATGGCCATGGGTGTGAATACCATATGGTGTGTCTGACATATGTAGGGTCACTCAGTTTGTTGGACTTAACTGTTTCAACCCTCATCTGAATTCCCTATAGTTTAGCATACAGGTGGAATCAGTCTTACAAGATGATAGTGTGTGGAAGGCTGCATGCAATTTAAGCCCATCTTGGAGGAAAAACATACCAAAGAACGTTCATATCCTAGTGAAAATGTATCAGTAATGTCATCTTTGTATATGAAGGGCAGTATCTATGCATTTGGCAAAGCAACGTGATAGAAAAGAAAGGACCCAATTTGGGGGCCAAGCAGCCTTTATTACTATCTGACATTGAAATAGTACAATGAACAACCATATACCCTCTACCTAACTGAACAATTATTAATATTATCTCATATTTACTTAATCATTCTTTTTCTTTCTCCCTCCCTACCTCTCTCTCCCGTTTTCTTCCTTTTTCTCTCTCTGTATTTTGTTATTGTTTTCGTTGCTGACATGGTAACATCTTTTCTCTTTGGCTGTAGGTATTATTTATGTCTTCAACTTCGGCAGGACATAGTTGCAGGACGACTGCCCTGTTCATTTGCAACCTTAGCATTATTAGGTTCTTATACCATCCAGTCTGAGCTGGGAGACTATGACCCAGAACTCCATGGTGCAGATTATGTTAGTGATTTTAAACTGGCCCCAAATCAGACCAAGGAACTTGAAGAGAAGGTCATGGAACTGCATAAGTCATACAGGTAAATATGTCTCCAGGATTTGTTCTGTGTTTACTTTGACAGTAAGTTTAAACCCTTGACCTGGGATTGATTCAGTGTTTGCCTTAGTGGGAACTGGTGCCATAGAAAGAGTCAGCTTGAGCTCAGTTCCCTCCCAATTCTTTGGGCAAGTCATTTAAACCCTCTGAACCTCAGTTTTCTCATCAGAGTAATAGGTGTTGCATTGTTGGATGAAAACTACATGAGGCAATATATGTAAAGCACTAAGCACAGTATCTGGCACATAGTAGGTGCTCAATAAATGGTAGCTATTATTATTATTGCCTTACCTTTTTTTTTTTCCAGATTTTAAATGTATTATGCTGTATTAGATGCCTTGAGATCTTTAGAGCAGAGGTTCTTAACTTGGGGTCTATGTACATGGATAGACTTCAGAGGGCCCATGAAACCCCTGAAGGTCTTTTTAAAAGTCTTTATTGAATTCACTAATTTTTTTTTTCATGGAAATAATTTGTTAATGTTGGGAGGTATAACACAGTGATCAGGAACAAGTTCAGACTGAGCTGGGTTGAATTCTTGGCTCTGCTTGGTCCTGGCCTGTGACCTTGGGTAATTCACTTAATCTCTCTGAGCCTCAGTTTCCTTATATGTCTGATAGAGATCATTACCTCAGAGGAAATAGGGTGAGCCATAGGATTAAAAAAGGTAATATGTGTAAAAAGTTAATACAATGTCTTACATAGTAAAAATTCAATAAATGTTAGCTAATATTAAAGTCCCAGAAAAATTTGTGTTTCTTGCTACCAAACATCCCATTGTTATTTGAGTGACTTGTTACAGCTAAATTTTACAAGCTGCCTTAGCATATTAAGGAGACTGATCCTGGCCTTGAGTTGGTACCCTGAATTATGTTAGCATGAGTTAGGCTAGGATGCCCCAAAGGGTCATACTGCTGAGAAGTCCAGAGTGCTCTTAGTAGGCTTTTCATGGTAGGAACAAGTATTCTGTTTGGCCATGGAGCCATCTTATTCTCCTTAGAGTGGTTCCAATAGGATTGCATGGATTGAGATGCCTTAAATGAGAGAGTTTGAACTCAAGGTGCCCCAATTCTGGTTGCCTTATTCCGCCTGTAGGTTCCGGTCCCACAGTCATAAGAACCATAATGAGGACTTTAAAGTCTACAACCTACATAGCAATAGTCTTATAACTATCACCTTACTCTCCTGAGGTCACACTGTTTCTACAGAGAACTGCTGAGGTTGGCTTTTCAAGTATGAGCATATACATTACAATGCTCTGATATCTAAGACCACTAATATATCACTTTCCACTAGTTGATGATTGTAACATAAGCATGTTGTATTGTCCTTAAATATGTTTTTAATATACTTATTTATATTCTGATTACGATTCTAGGAATTTATATATATATATATATACATAAAATATATAATTACATATATATACAAAAGCAAGTAGTGGAAAGAAGCAATCAATTAAAATAATTTGATTTGTTAAAATGTCAGTATTGTAGGGAAATGTTTTTTTTTCTAATAATTAAAAAATAATTTTTATTGGTAGTGTAATCTTTGAGCAATCAATAAAATGGTGAAAGAAAATATTCTACTGCTGCTGTGGAGCAAAACAGCAGAAAATAGTGGTATCAGATTATGATTGATACCTAACTTCTGTCTCTGACTTTTTCTTTTTTTTTTTTTTTGCGGTACGCGGGCCTCTCACTATTGTGGCCTCTCCTGTTGCGGAGCACAGGCTCAGCGGTCATGGCTCACGGGCCCAGCCGCTCCGCAGCACGTGGGATCTTCCCGGACCAGGGCACGAACCCATGTCTCCTGCATCGGCAGGCAGACTCTCAACCACTGCGCCACCAGGGAAGCCCTTTTTTTTTTTTTTAAGGAGCCCCAGTTTTATCTATCACTCAGCTTCAACAGTTATTACGCCTGTAGCTTTCTTCAGTCATTTATTCCCCTCCATATTTTTCCCCGACAGTAGTTTAAAGCAAGTCATATCATTTCACCCATAAAAACTTAAGTATCTACCAGGATACAGACTTTAAGAACACAATACAACTATCACACCTAACAAAATTAACACTAATTCTTTAATATCTGATGATTCTTTTAATGGTTATTTGATCATAATAGAATTTCAGGTTTGGGAGGACTTTATAGTCTAAATCTCATGCAATGCTTGATTCTCCTTTTTAGCATTGTTACATAATCATCATAACATTATAAGCAGCTAATTATTGTATGTCTCTTATTATGTGCCAGGTACTATGCTAGGCACTTTATGTATAATACCATATTTAACTTTTATAATCACCCTTTGAATTAGGCCAGCTCTTTTCTTTTTTTTTTTATAAATTTATTTATTTTTGGCTGTGTTGGGTCTTCGATGCTGCACGCCGGCTTTCTCTAGTTGCTGCGAGCGGGGGCTACTCTTCATTGCTGCACGGGCTTCTCATTGCAGTGGCTTCTCTTTTTGCGGAGCTTGGGCTCTAGGCGCATGGGCTTCAGTAGTTATGGCTCCCGGGCTCTAGAGCACAGGCTCACTGGTTGTGGCGCACGGGCTTAGTTGCTCCGTGGCATGTGGGATCTTCTTGGACCAGGGCTCGAACCCGTGTTCCCTGCATTGGCAGGCAGATTCTTAACCACTGTACCACCAGGGAAGTCCCAGGCCAGCTCTTTTCATATGGTGTTGTTTTACAGACTGCCGGCAGTCTCCAAGATTCTTTTTTTTTTTCCGTGTATTTATTTATTTTTGGCTGCATTGGGTCTTCGTTGCTGTGCATGGGCTTTCTCTAGTTGTGGCGAACGGGAGCGTGCGCGGGCTTTTTATTGTGTTGGCTTCTCTTGTTGTGGAGCATGGGCTCTAGGCATGCGAGCTTCAGTAGTTGTGGCACGTGGGCTCAGTATTTGTGGCTCGCGGGCTCTAGAGTGCAGGCTCAGTAGTTGTGGCACACGGACTTAGTTGCTCTGCGGCATGTGGGATCTGCCTGGACCAGGGCTCGAACCCGTGTCCCCTGAATTGACAGGCGGATTCTTAACCACTGCGCCACCAGGGTAGCCCAGTCTCCAAGATTCTGTTAAGGGGTCCATGAGGTCAAAATTATTTTCATAATAATACTAAGATATTATTTGGCCATTTCACTGTGTTGAAATGGTGGAGCACAAATCAAAGCAATGGCACCAGACTGTACTACTAGTCATTATATGCTTCACCAACATTCACTTTTATTTTTATTTATTTATTTATTTAAAATTTCCATTGTAGCCCTTTTTAAAAATTGGCTTTATTTATTTATTTTTCTTATTTTTGGCTGCATTGGGTCTTCATTGCTGCACATGGGTTTCTCTAGTTGTGGTGAGTGGGGGTTACTGTGTGCGGGCTTCTCATTGCGGTGGCTTCTCTTGTTGCACAGCACGGGCTTCTAGGCATGAGGGCTTCAGTAGTTGCAGCATACGGGCTCAGTAGTTGTGGCTCACGAGCTCTAGAGCACAGGCTCAGTAGTTGTGGCGCACGGGATTAGTTGCTTCGCAGCATGTGGGCTCTTCCCGGACCAGGCCGCGAACCCATGTCCCCTGCATTGTCAGGCAGATTCTTAACCACTGCGCCACCAGGGAAGTCCCACACTTTTACTTTTTAACTTGCAGTTAAAAATTAAAAAGTAAAATAAAATATTTTTAAACCTGCCAATTCACTTAAAAATTTTCATGATGAAGCAGTAAAGAGTATTGATTTTATTAAATCTGAAATACATCCTGTTTAATATTCTGTGTGATTTAATGGGAAGTACACAGAAAGCACTTCTGCTGCATACTGAGGTACTTGTCTTGAAGAAAAGCACGTGTGTAATTGTTCTGAGTTCTCAGCTGCATTAGCCAGTTTTTTAATGCAACTCCTTTTTTGCTTGAAAAAGTGACTGATTATTCAGACTTGGTTATTTGGCATACATTTCCTCAAAAGTGAAATGAGCCAGTCCTTTAAGGATTGGTAAATGACTGATAGTATTTGTTGCTAATGACAAAATTCAAGCTTTCAAATGAAAATTAGAATTTTGGAAAATTTGTATTTGCCATCATGATCTTGACAGGTTCCAAATACTTAAACGACTTTTCTGATGAAGTTGGTGACTATTTTAATGAATGTGATTCTTTTCTTTTAATATCATACAATGAAATGTGTCAACATTTGGAAAACTTGCATTACTCAGCCAACCAGTATTTTTCAGATATGAAATGCATGATGTTACAAAATCATGCATCTGTATAAAAGACCCATTCAAAATGCAAGATGGACCAATGGATTTTAATGTAATATGGTACAAAAAGTTCACTGATATGTTTTCAGATTTCACACTGCAACTAACCTTTAGGAAACAGCCATTGTTAAGTTTTGGTGTAGTATTAAAGAAGAATATTTTTAATCATCAATTCTTCCTTTTCCAACTACATATCTGTGTGAGATCAGGTTTCTTCATATATTACAACCATACAAAATATTGCAACAGATTGAATACAGAAGCAGGTAGGAAAATCTAGCTGTCTTCTAAGCCACACATTAAATAAAATTTGTAGGGCTTCCTTGGTGGCGCAGTGGTTGAGAGTCCGCCTGCCGATGCAGGGGACACGAGTTCGTGCCCCGGTCCGGGAAGATCCCACATGCCACGGAGCGGCTGGGCCCGTGAGCCATGGCCGCTGAACCTGCGCGTCCGGAGCCTGTGCTCCGTGGCGGGAGAGGCCACAGCAGGGAGAGGCCCGCGTACCGCAAAAAAAAAAAAAACAAAAAAAAATTGTAAATATGTAAAGCAGTGTCACTCCTTAACTACATTTGGGGAAAATACTGTTATTTTTCACACAAAAAATTTTTCATGTTAAAACATGAGTCGTCTATTGTTATTCATTAAGTCCCCTACATACAAACGAGTTCCGTTCGGAGAGAGTATTCGTAAGTCCGATTTGTTGGTAAGTCCAACAAAGTTAGCCTAGGTACCCAACTAA